TTTGAATACTGCCAAAAGGCAATTGGTGTATCAAGCCTATCTCTGAAAAGCATTTATGGTCTGAACCTTGTTATTCTTTAGTTTTATTAGTCTTTGTCAGCTGAGGAATCGCAAAGATATTATAAAATAGTAAGACAATCTCTGCAAAATGTTTTTTTTTTTATAATATTTTTAAGATTATAATAACTTTGAAAATGAGAAAACAATTTATAAACAGAAATATAGAAATATAAACAAATAGAAATATTTTTGATATGTTTCTAGTTAAATAAATTAAGAAGACAGAAGATAATGACAGGTGGTGGTAAAGATAAAGATATAAGACTGTATAATCAACAATTATTAGAACAAATTGAAGAATTAAAGAGAGCTTTAGAATCTGAGGTTAGTCACTATTATTATTAAATTGATGAATGTACTCTCTGAGGGTTTTAAAAAGCTGAAGGCAAACACCACCAATGCTACCAGCTTTCTTGAAAAGGAATCAGATGCATCCATAATACTGTTAAATAGACTTGATATCACAGACTCCATTGAAGTTATATTGTATCTTATATTTTAGAATGGATCTGTATCAGCCTTTGAATACCAAAGATTATTTGAGAAGAACCAACAGTTACAGAAGGAAATACTCAAATTATCAGAAGAAAATATAGAGTTAAAGTTTGAAACTGAACAATCTAAGAGAGATGTTCCTAGACAAAGAGTAAGTTTGCCATGTCAATTTCGTGTGAACTTTGTAGGCCCACAAGTAAAACATAAAGATTTATTAGCAACTTAGATTTAATATCTGCAAATAAATATAGTATCAAAGATTACAATCACCTTCAATATAAGACATTGATCATATTTGGTCATGGGTTCAATAAAGATCTCAGTATTAAATTTTTGCTCACTGTATGTGATTAAGAAATCATGTTTGTGCCTTTCATTATCCTAGGAAAGAATATCTGATCTTCAGAAATATATTGAAGCTTTAAAATATGAAAATAGTCAGCTGGGTGGAGTTAGTTCAGCTAGATCTTTAGCCTCATCAGTATCAAGTATTAGAAGGGTAGGTGGTCAATTATTATTTTTTATAAAGTCTAAATTTTGTTCTAAATGAATGAATATTATTTAAAAAAATTATTTTGTCCCATTTTGATTTGAAAAAAGAAATTATAATTTTGATGATAATGTAAGCTTATATAACATTTATTATTCTGTAAATCTATTTATTTCTGTGTTATTTTTTGATATAATAGTTTGTATAATTTCAATATTTCTTTTAGATTGGTGAAAGTGGTAAAAGTACCAGAGAATTAGAAAAAACTATTGCTCTATTAAAGAAAGTAATAGAGAAAACACAGGCTGAAAATGAAATTTTAAAAAGATCTGCTAATGGTGCTGGTTCTGAACAAATTTCCTTTTTAAAACAAGAAAATGATGGCTTGAAGGTAATATTATTTTATTTCTCTTCATAACCAATGTAGCAGTGTAAAATGCTTCAGAGTTCATGTGGTTATATTATATGCTATCTCTTTATGATGCTAACGGTGTGTCTTTTATTTTTAACTGCCTTTGCACCAGTTCAGAAGCAAATGACCCTTTGATATACACAGTAAAGATCTTCTCACAAAATTTTCTATTTGAGAATTATCTCTTTTTATGAAATTATATTATATTATATTATATTATATGAATATTTGTAGAATCATCTAGAAGAGGTAAAATTACACATGGGTGCAACATTAAATGAAAGATATACCAGTCAACAGAAAGGTACAGCTAAAATGATGACAGATTATGATAAATTGAGGAAAGAGTTAGTGAAGGTAAGAATATTATTGACTTATATTATTGCCTTTATGGTAAGTAACCACATAGACAATTGATGGTAAAATGGTGTTTTGGTTGTCAGTTTGATACATATTAATGTTATAGGCATGAAAAAAAGAAAAAACAGCAATTTTTTAAAAGATAACAACTTAGGTTCAGGAGGATCCTTTCTACCAGCTGGTCCTTGGCCTAACTACCCCGCATCAATATTTGTTAGATTATCTGTACCTGTTTAGTTAATTTGACTGGAATAATGAGGAAAGATAACTTGGTATTTGACTTAGTCACCAGACTTAAAGCTTACAACCACCATTCCTTTGATAGAAGAAGCAAATGATGTCAAGTTTCCAACTCTCTGGGTTTTTTTTATTTCACTATGATACCACTAATTTTAGAATATAAAGTAATTTTTTGATAAACTTACAGGAGAAGGAAATCAATGAAAAATTAAGAATAGAATTAAGAAGTATAGAAATGGAAAAAGAAACACAAATGAAACAATTAGAATTGACCAAGTCTAAGTTAGAAATAGAAGAAGCTAAAAGACCTAGTAATAATTCTGATAGTAAAGGCTGGAAGTCTGCTGTAGTCACTAGAATGTATGAAGATCAGATCAATACACTAGAAGCAGATATTGAAAAGAAGGTCAGTTATTTAATATTTTTACTAATGAATATTCACATTATTTTATTATTGAATAAAGCATTTGTTTTGATCGGTTGAATATTGTAAGAACCTGGAACATGTACTGCAGAACAATTTCGTAAGATCATTGATGGCAAGTACACCACAATATGTATTTTAATCAAATTACATAATTCAGCAGACTCAAAGATATAAACATGGACTTATGGATACATTCTATTTGATTCCGTTTCTACATATGGTTTCTAGGAAATAATTTAGCTTATAGGTCTTCTCTATTCTAGAACAAAATAATAGCTGATAATAAAAAATTGTTAAAATCAGCAGCAGAAAAAGAACAGAATTTTATAGAAGAAAAATCACAATTATTACATCAGGTTGGTATTTTAGTCACATTCTGAAATTACTAACAGCAGTCTTTTAAAAATTGTCAAATATTCAAGCTTTTTATAAGTTCAAAGGTCTGTTTCAATTGTTTTTATCTTAAAAAAACTTGTGACCTCCAAAGGTCTTTTAGATTTAGTGCAAAAATGTTATTACCTCATATGAAAGAAATATGACAAATATATGAGGCGATCTTGAAAAAAGTACTATAGATAGAAGTTGATATATTTTGATATGAATATTTTCTAGATAGCTATATTAGAAAGATTACCACCTGGTATTCAAGTTAAAGATAGTGATTTAATGAAAGAATATCAACAAGCTAGGTGGGTATTCACAAACCCTTTCTTTATTTCTGTTTTTTGGCTGAGACTAATTCTAAAGAACTTTACGAAGCGGTTAAGGCAGGTGTGTTCTACAATTTAAATAAAATTGGCAAACACTGATATTTAGGGTCCAATTTATTTGAAAATATTAGGATCCTTTTATGGGATGCTTTTCTAATGTAAAGTTCATTTTATTTTTTTATGAACAGAATTAAAATTGATAAATTAGAATTAGAAAAGAAAGAACTAATACAAGAAATAAGAATGTACAGAAAGGGAGATAGGAACTCTGAATTGGTAAGACTTTAAAATCACACTGAAAATATGAATACTAGTTCACAATTGGGTGCTCTGATAAATTTCCTGAGAAGTAAATGAGAAAGAAAAAATTATTTAATAAAAACTTTTTTGTGGATCTCAATGTTGGATTTTCTCTGCTCAACCATGTATTTTCTCTGCTTAACCATGTATTTATCTCAGTATTTTTATATGACCTGCTTGTTAAAACAAAGAAGATTGTCTTATTTCCATCTTGCAGGCTCTTATTACTTTCTAGAAGGGAGACTACTCTAACCACACATTGATCAAGTTAAGACCACAATAATTGTGTATAATTTGTAAATTAAGACCACAATAATTGTGTATAATTTGTATTTATTTGCTCACACATTCAAAAAAAATAATCTGTTTTTCAGCTTGATGATGATATTTTAACTAAAGCTAGTAAATATGATAGAATATTAGAAGAAAATGTTGATGTCAGAGTGGAATATAAAACGGCAGCTTTAGAGAGAGATAAATACAAAATGGAAGTTACTAAGGTAAGATTTCAGGGAAATATGTTTTCAGGCATAGGTAAGATGTCAAGTTGAATGACACAGCCATTTTTCCGAACAAAATAAATTGCCTCGTTTTCCCATATAGGATGCATATTAAAAAAATGTAAACACTGTCTTGTTACATGATCAGGAAACTGTCCCTGGTTTAGTAATCATCAGTGTGTTTATTTGTAGCTGAAGAAAGAATTGGATAATTTTGGTCCAGAATTCTTTGAAGAAGTAGAAGATTTAAAATATAACTATAAACAAGCTGTGGAAAAAAATGTGCTATATGAAGAAAAACTACTCAATATATCCAAACAGTTTGGAATTCATCTCAATATTCCTGGTTTAGATACTTAATCATTATTACTGATCCTTATTGTAGTAAATGTTTCACTTTTGTATTATAGAAGGCTAGAATATCAGTTTAATTTATATTTTATTGAGATCTTCATGATCGTATTTCATTAGTAGCTTTATGTAGTCAAGAATGGTCATGCAGACGTATAGGTCTATCATCTTGCTGAGCTTTTCTGCAAAATTCCAATGCCTTATTTTATTGTCAAGTACCGTCCAAAGATGTGGGTTTTTTTTTATTTATTTACTGTAGTACCGTACATGTCTAGTTTAATCTGAGTTTGTGTTTAGACCGTTCAATGTTAATGTAAAGTTATAGTCTATATTTATCTGTGATATTTGTATTATGTAGACTATATTATTATATAAACTCATTCCATTTTAAATGCTATTCTCTGAGCAAAACCCATATGCCAAAATGTGAACAATTCACAAACTCTATAGTCATCTGTTGCAATGGTTTATCCCAAGGCTGTGTTGTTGGAAAACGTTATTTTTCTGTTTGCTTAAATGCATACTTTGAAAGGTCACAAAGGGGCCACATGTTTAAACAGTAAAGGTTCATCATGGACAGCTATCACTGAAAGTTGTTCAGATGCCATCTATAAACTATGCTGAATTTAACAGATTCAGATAAATAAAGACGAAATTTGGTAGATGCAATGGTTTTTATCAAAATATGAAAACAAAAGATATGGTGAATACAAAATGCAGAGACAATGAGATATTCATAGCTTAATTTTAGATAATAAATAAATATTGATAGCACTAATTTCAGAAAGTTCATGATGTAAGTCAATCATGTAAAAAGCACAAGAAATGTTAAGTCTATTTAATGATGTCTGTGGTCTGGTTGTCGAGGTCTAGGTGCTGAACTGATTATATTATCAACGCGTAATATCATCTCAGCAGCTTCAGCAGCACTCAGTAGGACTTGACGTTTAACTTGGAAAGATTCAGTTATTCCTAGCTTTTCCATATCACCTATTTCACCATCATTCATATCTACAAGACAAAAATTGTAAATGTATACATGATGGTCACCAATGCTAACAATAATAGTTTTGTTGGCTCTCCAAGTTTAGTCAACAGAAACAGTAATGTAGCATCAAGTGATCTATAAGGTTTAGCGCTATCTGCAACACTAGTGAACAACACCCTTAATATTATTAGGAATGACAAAGTTATAGCAAGGAATATTTTATGTTTTCTGAACATGATTTTGGGAATGAAATCTTACCTAAACCATATGTATGTTTACCATCTGTATGAGCTGCTCTTAATTGAGCTACCAATTCAGCGCTATCATAGCCAGCATTATCTGCTATACATGTTGGTAACTAGAATAGATTATATTGAACTTTGGTTTGAACTTCTTTAGTAACTAAGAAATTACTTGGGGAAAAATTACTGCATTTATAAACCTCAACCTCATTTTCGATAAAAAACAGATGCTTTCTTGTTCATTTGTCATAGATACAGAATAATCTAAACTTACAGCTCTTAATGCTCTAGCAAATGCTTCCATGGCAACAGCTTCTTTACCAGGTGTTTTAGCTGCTAACTTTGATACAGCATCAGCCATTAACATTTCTGAACTTCCTAAAAACAAAATATTACTCTTTGTTAAATAAGACAAAGTATCATGGGAAATACTGAGCTATATTATTATTTAGCTCACTGATAGTAACATTAATTACCCCAAACACCCACCATCTCTCATATATAGTGGAGCCTCGTTTATCCGCACATTTCTGTTCCCAATAAAATTGTGTGGTTTAACGAATTTCCAGATAGTTGAAACATGCCATACCATAACTAGGCATCTGTCAAGTGCCACGTACGCAAACCATGAAAGACATGATTGTGTTTACTAGATATAGGACAAATTCATCGTGAAGAACCCCTATTGTAACACTAAGATTGCTTACCTCCACCAAAAACAGTTCTAGTTTCTTTGACAGTCTGTGATAGTACACATAAAGCATCATGTAGAGATCTTTCTGATTCATCTAAAATCTGTTGTGTTGCTCCACGAAGGACAACAGTACAAGCTTCACCTAAAGCCACACCTACAAGTACACAAAGTTTATCAAAGTAAAACTCAAATCAATGATTTCATTGAGTATTGAAAACTTCATTGAATGATTTTGATTTTCTTTCTCAAAATAAATATCTCAAATAACCCATCCAACAACAATCCAGAAAGCAAATATCTGTTCATAAAAGCAGCACTTTCTATAACCTTTTTGGAACAAAATCAAGAATTTGGATTTACCATAAATAAAAATTTAGCTTAAGTATCTGCAAAAGCGTTGCCTAATTAAAAGCTGGTAGGACTTTGCATACTTGTCTTAACTTAGTCTCAATAGTTTTTTATTTAATCAACAGTTAACAGACAATACAATAAATCCAGACTTACCAGTAAATTTAAGAAGCTGATCTTCACCAATCATAACTTGTTCAATAACATCACAGGTACCTAGTTTGACTTTATCAGGACAATCAAAAGTTGATGTAATTTCCCCACCAGTAACTAAAGCTAACCTTTCTATACCATCAAAATCTGCATGTTCTATAGCCATCATACCAGCATCAGCAAATAATTGTTCAGGGTAATTGTAAATTAGTTGTCTGCAAAGGAATAGTCCAAACGGTAAACTTACATTAGAGGGTAACAACATTAGTCCAAATGTCATCATCACTTCCAACCACACAAATAAGCAACAAAATATTGCATCCTTGTGTCCTTTACAAAAGTACAAGACTGCTCAATGTAAAATTATCAAAATCAAAAATATTTCACAAGGACAGGTTTAATAAATGGGACATACATCCATGTTTCAGAGCTCAGTTAATGCAGTTAACAGAATTTATAAACATAAATAACATACCTGTTTATAAAAACATTACAATTGTGTTTAATTATTTTATTCACTTTGTCTTTCATTTTTTCCTTCTCTGCTACTTCTAATTCTGCTACCTTAGATACGGCATCAACTCTTACTCTGCTACCAAACACCTGTAATATACATTGAACATCACATAACATCAACAAAGTATTATATACTGTTTCTCTCAATGATCTATGTTTAAAGATGTTATGTTCATTAGGGCAAAGATAAATGGAGACACAAATCAGTAAATGTGTAAATGCTCATACCCCTCACATTAAAAAAGATTTAAACTTGAATTCATAATTTACCTTGATCTTATCAGTATCCATAGGTGTATTGGCTATTAATATCTTGGCGTTTTCTACTCGTTTAGGTTGATGTACACCAACCGTCTTGTCTAATAAAAATCCTGTAATAATATAATGAATGTAATTGAAAACCTGTCAACCTTTCCAATCTCTTCCATGAAACAGTACCCAACCAAGATTTTTTTTTATTGTTCTAGAAATATTCATATCTTGCTATTCTACCTAGTTTAGATAGGTTTAAAAAAATACAAAGCTTACCTTCATCTAAATAAGAATCTTGTAGAGCTCCTCCTAGCTTCTTTATAATCTGAATGGCATCTAGATTACCACTTCCCTATAATGTATTCAAAAAATGAATGCAACTACCAAGTAAATTTACCAAAGCAGTAAAAAAGGGAGCCTTATCTACATTGCTTTCTAAATTTCTGTTTTTAATGTGAATTTACACATGAAGTCTGGGGTATCTTTCTATCAAGGACATTGTAATAGAGAAACTAAATGGAAAATGAAAACAGCATCAACTGACATGGATTCATTCTTATGTTCCATTGGTACATGCCAAATGTCATAAAAATACTCACCTTCAATCTTAATACAGCCTCTACTGCTAATTTAGCAAAATGTTCTTTATATTGAGTTAGAATTTTAGAACTGAGGGTTGTTCTAGCTATATTCATCAAATCTTCACAGAATTTATCAGGATTAGTTCTATAAAAGATTCAAAATGTTTCATTACATGGAAATTCAACCTTACCATAAATATAATTGGGTGCAGGTTAACAATTCCTTTAAGACAAGACATGTTCGTTTATCTGTGCTTTTGGGAGTACAAACAGTTTTGCCCCTAGAGAGTTGTATTGAATAAAGTAATTCTTGATGAATATATGAAGATGAGAATTACAAAACTTACCCATTATCCTTAGCTGAGTCAGTTAATGCTTTTCTAGCTGTATCAACAGCTGCTCTCCAACCTGTTATTATAGTCTGTGGATGTATTTTACTACTAACTAATTGTTCTGCTTCCTGTAAAAACAAAAGACAAAATATGAACTTACCTAGACATCTAAACTATGTACAATTCATTAGATATTGAGATGAGTATATACATTCAGTACCATTTTTATTCAGGATTTAAGAAAGAAAGACAATAGATTTGTATATTAACAATACCTTTAATAGTTCACAAGCTAAAACAACTACTGATGTTGTACCATCTCCAACTTCATCATCTTGTACTTTAGATATATCTAAAATAGTATTTAAAACATGGTACAAGATATCATCAACTACTGATTCCTTTCCTTTAGGTTCACATACTTTTAGTTTACAGTATGCAGTTATAACAAATGATTTCACAAACAGTAATAACTGACTAACAGTGATGGCAATTTAAACTTTCACAGTACATTTCAGTCAATAAAGCAACATGACCTTATCCTCTTGATAGGGAACTGTGCTACTCAAAACGGTTACTTACCAACTAGTACTTTACCAGCTGGGTTATCGACACCAATAGATTTTAATATGGTAGCTCCATCATTAGTTACTTGTAATGTACAATTAGGATCATTACTCTGTAAAATTTTATCCTGTAACAAAAGCAAATTATTTTATTTCACAAATCCACTGTAAATATAGTCTTTAATTTTTCAAAAACAAACTCCAAATCAGTGATAATACATAATATTGGGTAAAGAAGATGAGAATGTTTAAATCATAGGCTTACCATTCCTTTTGGTCCAAGAGTACTCTTTACTAAATCACCTATAGCAATGGCACCAACAAAAGATGACTGAAATGAAGATTATAATCATTATTGATAATAAATGTAGATTACATTAGATCCAAGAATTGTTGTGTGATTATAACAAACTAGTTTTCATTTTCATGAATGCCACATGTACTCACCATTCGAGCAATCTCCGCTTTTTCTTCGCCAGCACCCTGGCTGAAGATCTGTACTGGATGCATGTTCATCTACAAAAAAAGGTGATTAATAAGATAAAATGAGTATTAATTATAAAGTTAAAACAGTGATACTACGATGTAAACTTCAATACAATGTACCTTCGGTTGTTAAAAGACAGGCCGGCTACATAAAGCACGTGCTCTTTTACTGTTTTACTTATCGTAAACAAATTCCGTTTTTACTTGTGATAATTAAGTTCGTAATATATTTTAAGAAATCGAATAATTTATATAAGCTTGCTACCTTTTTGATGTCTACTGAACTGGAAATCTGCAAATTTCAAGTTAGAACAGCTCAATACACAAGAATGTTTACTAGAAGCTTCCACGTGGTTACGTACAATTATCATTAACTTCCTGTCAGAAAATGTCCAATGTAAAACGAATATATTTCATGTTAAATCGAGTTACCTCCCATTAATCGTTTTGTAGAAAAGGCAAAGAATGCAAAATAGTAGTGTATTTATAAACACATGGAAACACATACTGGAGAGAAACCATATCAGTGTGATGTTTATAAAAAGTGTTAAACTCGGTCAGAAAGTTTGTTTTTCTGCGATAAAATGTCTTAATGAGCACATGAAAATTCATACTGGAGAGAAACCTTTCAAATATGATGTTAGTGAAAAGTGTTTTGGCCATTCAAAGTCCCTATTTAAAGTGATACTACGTCTTAGAATAAACATAGAATTTTTAAATTTTAAACTTGGCCAATAAGAGCTGCTGTCAAAAATAGCATAATATGATATATAATCCGATAAATCCAAACACTTAATAAAAATGCAATTAACTATTGAAAAATGCTTAATATTATGATTAAGTGTTTTTCAATAATTACTTAGTTTTATGAATTTTCCAATTTTCTAGATTTTACAGGGATTCTGTTGTAACTTTATGACACCAGGTAAGTTCTCTGATGAATATATACTCATATTGACCATTCTTGAGGATTAAATTTTATGTTCATTCTAAGACGTAGTATCACTTTAAATGTGGTGTTTGTGAAGGGTTATAGTCAACTTGGCACTTAACCGAAATGACCCTAAGTCAAATTGGCCCCCCAAAGTCAAAATTAGTTCAAATGGACCCAACAAAAATAGTCAAAATGGCCCCTAAAACTACTCTTTGATCTCAACCAAAATAATTGGTCAAAATGAACGGATCATACACTACCCCTCCTACTATACTACTAAGTCCAACAACTTGCCCCACGACAAACTCTTAACCATCCCCTAATAATTAACAGTACAACAACATACACTACTACAAGTCCAACAACATTTCCTACTACTATAGTCGTGCATTTCCTACTACCAATCCAACCATTTCTCCTACTATTCTGTTGATGTTTATCAACACCCCCTTCTAACAGTTCAACGCCCCTGATACAAGTCCTACAACATTGCATATAACCTGTCAAACAATGTACCCTACTTCCAGTGCAGAGGTAGCAGAGGAGGCTTTTGGACTGGTGGTAGGACTGGTGGTAGGTGATGTTGTTGGTCTGGTGGTAGGGGGTGTTGTAGGACTGGTGGTAGGTGATGTTGTTGAACTGGTGGTAGGGGATGTTGTAGGACTGGTGGTAGGGGATGTTGTAGGACTGGTAGTAGGAAATGTTGTAGGACTGGTGGTAGAGAATGTTGTTGGACTGGTGGTAGTGGATGTTGTTGGACTGGTGGTAGGGGATGTTGTGGGACTGGTGGCAGGCGATGTTCTAGGACTGGTAGTGTGGGAGTTTGTTGGATAGGTTTAGAGATGTGAAGATGATTTTAGTTATCTTAGTTCATGGGAAGATTGACAAATATTGTCGGGGTACCAACCCTTGATTCATTGAAAATAGCGTATAGCGTGTATACGCGATAAAGTCAATTGTTTATGCCAGAATTTCATGAAATTTGGTTTGTAGTTAAATCTTATCTCTAAAAATTAGAAACTTCGACAAAAACTGACTTTCAAACTTTGATAATCCTATCAATATCTTAGACAAGCTTTTCACACAAATTAACAGCTGCTTTATGCGAAGACCTATTTACCTAAAGAATCCTGTATGAAACAATTGCTTTATTCCAGAGGGCGGTCGCTTAAAGTCTTAATACATTCTTAATTGCAATATGTTTGTAATTATATATTGAAAATCAGTTGACATTCATTTTTTTCAAAAGATGTTGATGTGGGTCTTGAATAGGCCTATATGTAAATAGTCTTCAGAAGTTCTAGAACTGCACGAAAATCGCATAACCCCTTAAGTATACCTTAATACGTTTCTAAGACTAAGGTACGATTGGTCAAACGGGTGGCGAATCTATCCCCTTAAGCAGAATTTTAACTATTGTGTAGGTAATAAGGCTTCTTGGATATGTATACTTACAACGTTTCAATATAGTTCACACATCATCATCAAGTTTATAATGAATACAAACAATAAGCATAATATAGGTTGTTTCGGTGGTCCAATTTCCAGTTGCCCGCCTGGAAACACATTTTGTTTCTATGATATATTAAGGTTTAAAAAGTTTAGACATTTTTTTTCTGAAGGTAAACAATGATTAGAATTTCATCATTTTGATTCTGTATGGCTGCAAGGTGAAACGATTTCAAATAATTTTTGTTTATATAAGAACATAAACATTCGGCAAATTCTACCTTTAACTAATGTCTGTTTAATACTTTTAACTTTTATTCTTATGACTACGATTTAACAGCCGTAAAGATATGAAGATTATTCATTTCTTAGATTGGTACTTGGTTGTATTTCATTTTTGGGTTATTAAGACTAACGATGTGAAAATATGTAGATGAGAGATATAAATTTTAATGGTGTAAAAGAAACCTCGATGTTTAATATATTTAAGCTGGCTGTTTATTTCTTCTAGTATAAGATTTTATAAGAGAAACTTTCTAGTTTTATTTTCATGATATATGAGGTGGTAGGTGTATACATGATAACATTTCATTAAGACAATGTCTCTGATAGAGTTGGATGAAACTATTGAGGAAATCCTCTCAGCAGCCTTGGTAAGTTATGCTTCAAATATATCTAATTCTGTTCTGCGCAAAAATTCCGAGATGTTCTTGATTTTGAGGTAAACGGCACTTCACCTGAAGATTACATGAGATCATAGGTCTTTGTTACTTTTATTTCACATAATCTATTTTTTGAGAACACCGATTTGTTGAAGCCTTTTAAGCATACAAATTATCGTTCCATTTAACTTTAATTGATGTTCCTGCATTGTACTTTATTTTCTTTGCGTCTTTCTTTCGAGTTCGTCTATTGTAATTTACTTTTATTGCGCTTTTTACTTATTTCTCAAAAACTTCAATTGTAATTCATTTTGAATATCTTGTGTTCATTTAATGACATTTCCATAAGCTCTATGTTTTTATCTCGAGTTCATCTATTGTAATTTACTTTGATTGAGCTCTATGTTTTTATCTCGAGTTCGTCTATTGTAATTTACTTTGATTGGGCTCTATGTTTTTATCTCGAGTTCGTCTATTGTAATTTACTTTAATTGAGCTCTACGTTTTTATCTCGAGTTCGTCTATTGTAATTTACTTTGATTGAGCTCTGTTTTTTATCTCGAGTTCGTCTATTGTAATTTACTTTGATTGAGCTCTATGTTTTTATCTCGAGTTCGTCTATTGTAATTTACTTTTATTCTGCTCTTATGTCTTTAACTCGAGTTCATCTATTGTAATTTACTTTGATTGAGCTCTGTTTTTAACTCGAGTTCGTCTATTGTAATTTACTTTGATTGAGCTCTACGTTTTTATCTCGAGTTCGTCTATTGTAATTTACTTTTATTGAGCTCTGTTTTTTATCTCGAGTTCGTCTATTGTAATTTAATTTGATTGAGCTCTACGTTTTTATCTCGAGTTCGTCTATTGTAATTTACTTTGATTGAGCTCTATGTTTTTATCTCGAGTTCGTCTATTGTAATTTAATTTGATTGAGCTCTGTTTTTTATCTCGAGTTCGTCTATTGTAATTTAATTTGATTGAGCTCTACGTTTTTATCTCGAGTTCGTCTATTGTAATTTACTTTGATTGAGCTCTATGTTTTTATCTCGAGTTCGTCTATTGTAATTTACTTTGATTGAGCTCTGTTTTTTATCTCGAGTTCGGCTATTGTAATTTACTTTGATTGAGCCCTATGTTTTTATTTCGAGTTCGTCTATTGTAATTTACTTTGATTGAGCTCTATGTTTTTATCTCGAGTTCGTCAATTGTAATTTACTTTGATTGAGCTCTGTTTTTTATCTCCAGTTCGTCTATTGTAATTTACTTTGATTGAGCTCTGTTTTTTATCTCGAGTTCGTCTATTGTAATTTACTTTGATTGAGCTCTATGTTTTTATCTCGAGTTCGTCTATTGTAATTTACTTTGATTGAGTTCTATGTTTAATTGAGTTCTTCTTGTGTAATTTACTTTTATTCTGCTTTTTATCTTTATTTCAAAATATATTTCAATATCCTCCAAATCAAATAAATTTTTGGAAAATTTTCTTGGGAAAATACTCTCTGACGCATAATGAGAGACTCGATACCATGAGTTTATGACGCCACAACAGAGTTGCCCTCCAGTGAGTCAGTCTGCCCAATATTTCTACCCCCAGTATCGGAAGGCTGGTACCGCCACTGTTTATTGTGTCATGTCTTTATGCCACCCGATTAAGTAACATTAGCTGTTACTAAATGTTACTGTTCATGACAGGTTAATAAATTCCATTATTAGCTTTTAGGTAGCAGCCAATTTTACTGAATCGGGTTTTTATCTCGAGTTCTGTTATTGTACTTTGATTTAACTGTGCTTTTTGTTTATATTTCGAGTTCTACTATGGTAATTTAGTTTAACTGTGCTCTATGTTATTCCAATCCGTTAGAAAATAATATTGTGATGTACTGTTATTGAACTCAATAACTCAATAACTCAATATAATGTAAATCATTTGGATTTATCAAAATAATATTGTATAGCGTGCAACTAAATACTATCTTTATGAATAGTAAATGTATACTTTGAACATTGCTATTCATGATAGCAGAATTATTCCATGTTTAAGCAGAATCATACTTAGTTAATAACATGAAATTTGTTGGAATCGTTGCATGACGTAATTTGGTGCCTGTAGAGTTTTAATCAAAGTAATTAAAATGATCTTCAATGAACTCACTTTCTATCACACCTTTTAGAATTTCCTTTAACATCAAATCATCTAAATTACATATATATAGCGGGAAATGATTTAGTCTGTAAAAAGTTCTATTTATACAATAGAATACCATGGTCTAGACGACAGTTTGAATAGGGGTTATAAAAGAATATTGATGGAATAAGTTAAGGAAATGTTGACAGATCTTAAGTAGTTTGAAGTGTAAGTGGACAAGTTGTGGAAACAAGATAGAAAGGTTCCCAGTCCAAATCTTCTAATTTCAATATTGACAGAAGATAAAATTGATGGTGTTTACTAGAGAGTACTTCAGACTTCTTTGCCGATCTTCTTACAAACTAGCTTAGTCTCCAACGTGACTGGAAATCAAAAAAAGTGACCACATAATATACTATTTTCTCGTATGGGACTGGTATATACAATAACACAATTGTCACGCAGATATGTCACTTCCATGATAAATATTCAGTTCTGTATGTTTAGGATACTACACCTGTCGTCCTTGATCTGAAAAAAATCTTCAGTGGAATACCAACCAATCAAAATTATTGCAAAAATGGTCTAACAATACAATTTAATAATATTTAACAAGAAACCTCTCATATATAGTAAGGAAATGTTTTTTCGGAGCATTTGATTGGTTGCAATTTTATCAGATCATGGATGGGAAGTTGAATTACCAGTAGAAAAAAAACATGGAGCAAAACATCCGGGTTTTGCATCCTAATCAGATTGTATCACTTCCAAAGCCGTGATTCAGATTTGATACATAAATATTGTGAAATTTTTTCACCCATTAGACCTTTGTCAGTTTCCCTGCGATTTGGAAAATAGTATAACGTTGCTGGAAGATCGTTCATTACATTTCCAAAGCAGATCTGCTTTTAGAAAGATAAGAAAATTGGCACATGCCATACTTTTGTCAATTATATAATACAGAAAGGCATGAGTGATATTCATGTAATTATAGCAATTTTATAGGGTTTATTAACTTAGAAATAATTAGGTAAATAATGTTATATTTGTAATTACCTTTAATAAGTAACATTAAGTACGTATTACAGTCATACCATTTCAATGTTATCCTCTATATATCGCTGATATATCCTTATAATCTATATATAATCTATGTTATACTATCTAACGGTTTTTATAATTTGACAAGCGTTTAAAATAGCAACATATATGCGTAATATTATAGAAATTTGCATTTCATTGTATTCCGTTTCCAAATGCGTATAATGGTTATACGATGAACGTAATCTAGAGGTAAAAGAAAACTGTGTTAAGCACATTATCAGTGATATGGAAAAAAATTACTAAAATTAAGGCATACATCGCCTAAATTTACATAACTTTTACAATAATATATAAACAGTATTCACCGTTGATGGAATCGGTGATTCATTTTGTGGATGTAGAGCGCCAGTAATTCGGTTATCTATTCTTGAAAACCCAGATTGAAAGCTATTCCACTTTAATGATGTAACATAATTTCATAATGAAAGTAAATTATCACCAATATCTATCATTATGAAAGTAAAATTATGAGTAAATCAAATTACATTATTATA